GTCACCATAACCGCCACCATGAACAATATTGAATTTCTAGCTAGTCAACTCAGATCATATCGGAATATCTAAACAATATGAGACTAAATGCTGCCCATCTGCAAATGCTTTGAGCATCTGGGTCTGCCAAAAAATACTTCAACTAGTCACCCTCTATCAGGTGCGGATTTATGTGGACGGAAGTGGGGTACATGCACTCATGCTCCCTTCCCTAGGTAATGTATGAGCAATATTAAATTTTCAAATTATGTAGCTAAATATATTGTGGCCACCCATGCTCAATTGATTGCCCTGGTGCATTGGTCACTAAGTGCCCCTTTTGTCCCTCATGTCAGGGGTTCAATCCCCGTATAGTAGTAGTATATAAAGAGATTATCTAGTTTCTCGAGAAAGAGAACCTCACCTGAAATTCAAATTCGGATTGTATTGAGCCCATGCGAGCAATGAGTGGAGACATAAACATATATAAAAGACTAAACTTTGAAATACAATATTGTTCATAGTGGCGGTAATGGTGGCAATGTTGGTAGAGGGGAATAAAATTTTAGTGGTGAAAAAAAAAAAGGGAGGGGTAAAATAGGTTAGGGGCTCTGAGATGACATGTAGGTGGCATGCATCCACCTCATCAAATATCCGTGCCACATAGGATAGGATGTCCATGTTGGACAAATTTAATGGACGAAGGATATATTTGAACCAATAGTTTTACACAAGGATATATTTGAACTCAAATTATAAGTAAGGCATATTTAAACCTTTTCTCATATTACATGGGTATATTTAGACATTTTCCGTTTTATTATTGAAAGATTTTACCAAGATATTCATACAAATAATAATTAATAATCAATAAATAAAGAGTATGATAGCCGGGGAAATAAAGAGTACACAAATAAAAGGGTAAATTCGTCTAATTGTGTGATGTGATTCCTATAGAACTTGGGGTGTGTTTGGTATAACGGAAAATGTTTTCTGTGGAAAATATTTTCTTGGAAAACAAGTAATAATCTTATTCATTTTTCGGTGTTTGGTATGCAAATTAAGAAAAATGACTTCTCAAGAGTATTCATAAATAATTTAGATATAATAAACATGAAGTCATAAACTTTCATTTAAGGAGTGATTATCCAAATATGTGTTATATATATACAGAGAGAAATAATATCGAATTTTGACCTAATATTACAGAGAAAAGGGGCTGTACCATTCCATACCTTAGCCTTTCTCTCACCTTCCCCTCTTTTCTTCATCTTCTGCCACATCTCCTCTTCTTCTTCCCTTTTCCTCTTTCTTTGTTTCTTTGCATACAAAATTCTTCTTCCTCTTTCTAATTTTCTGCTCATAATTGCTATGAGAAAAACAAAACAATAAAAAAAAAAGATCAAATGGGTCGAGGCAAGAACTGGGCTTCCTAAGTGGTTTCTTGTAAGTTATTTTTAGTGATCAAACTGATATGTTGGTCCTGTTGGATGTNAGAAATTTGAAATTGCAATAAAAAAATAAGGTAAAAAAATAATATTTTTTTGCGGGTGGGGGGTGGGGTGGGGTGTAGGGGTAGTAGGGTGGGTGGTAACGGAAAAACTGAAATTTGAAAAAAAAAAAAAAAAAAAAACCTTTTTCGGAGAGAGGGGGTGGGGTGGGTTGGTGAGGGTAGGGAAGGTTGAGAATGAGTTTTGGAAAATGTTTTCTCCCTTGATAAGGAAAATATTTTCCTCTAATTGAAGGAAAATGAGTTCATAAGGAAAATGTTTTCCAAAATATTTAAGCGGGAGAAATTCAAAAATAGCTAGATTTACCACTGGTCGTTGAAAAATAGCCAAGTTTCAAAAGTCATCGAAATTTAGCCACTTTAAATCTGAGCGAAAACACTGTTCAAAATCCGGAAAAATACGCCCGCAAATTTTACGGGAGTTCCAGGATAACTATGCTGGAACTCCCGCAAATTTTACGGGAGTTCCAGCAAGTATAATTGTCCAGTATAATATACTGGAGTTTGGAGCACTGGTGCTCCAGTCTCCCGCAAATTTTACAGGAGTTAGCAAAGTATACCAGTCCAGCATAATATGCTGGAGTTCGTACACAAATGCACCAGAACTCCCGTATATTATATTGGACCGGTCCCTGTTGCAGCAAAATAGTGGCTATTTTTCATTGACTTGATAAACGTTGGCTATTTTTCATTGACCAGTGTGAAAACTAGCTATACCATAATATTTTAACCATTTAAGCCAATCAAACATGGGAAAATTGGAAAGCATTTTTCTTGGTACCCTTGTTCTACAGATTTTTCCACAACGAATTGCCGACTTTCTCAAATCCACAAAGGTATCCTCTCCGATTTTCCTACCATTATCGCGATTCACGAAAACCCTAGAGTTACATTCTAGATTTTTGCAACAAAGCACAAATTGCACCATAATTTTCTCTTGTTTTAATGCTTCTTTTTCCTGGCGTAAGAGTTATGTTGCAGCGTTTCAGCTTAAACATGGAAGCTATCACCAATGTGTTTAAAAGCGTCATTCGCCCAAGTTTGTTTCCTTTCATTTACTCTCTACAATTTCCTACCTACTTCTTTTTTTTGCCAATTTTTTTATACTGCTAATTCCCAATTCCTTTTTTCCCCCTGCAATTTCAGTTGTTTTAGCTCCTGTTTATACGACCGCAGCTTATATTGCCTACAGAACAGGATACGAGTACTTTTCTTTACCCTTTACCTTTTTGCCGTTTACTAGTTGTAGTTTTCATGAGAGAGAGCAGATCATATGTTAATGAATTTAACAATTATAATACTATTGATTGCATAAAAATATTATAATACTACTGTACTTTAATCTATTCAAGCAGGTTATATGTTGTATTGCTATCAGGTCACCTAGAAAAGAATTATACGTGACCATATATACATAGGTGGATCCAGGATTTAAATCCTATGGGTTCAACTTTTAAGGTTTTTAGCATTAAACCCATTATATTTTTAAAGTTATGGGTTCATATTCACTATTTTTGCACTTTTATCGAATTTTTACATATAAATTTTTACTCCGTGTCTAAAGTTATTCAATGGAACCCGTTAGTTGTTCACTACATTCACCTCTGCGTATATATTACATTATGGACAGTAATTTGTAGTTGTAGTTCTATGACTTGATAACGTATAAATCCTTTCATCTTCAAATTTCTTGCAATCTTTTTCTGCAACAGAGTTTCTGTACATAATTTTCAATTTCTTTTTCCAGAAATTTCTGCATTCTACTCGTACTTTTCAGTTTTTGTACCACAATTTTTGCATTCTGCATACATTTTTTAGTTTCTCTCTATTTTTCTGGATTCTGCATATTTGATACAGATGATAGAGATGAATCTGATACCGTTCAAAGCAAGTAAGAAGGAAGACATTGGGGGGAAGGTAAAAAAATGAGGGTCACACGAGAAAAAGAAATCTGTTATAAGTGGATGGAAAGACTTAACGGAGGGACGTTTTTGGTCAATTTTCTGAAACTTAAAGGACGTTTGTATTTAAGTGAAATATTATAAGAATATAGTGAAGTCGGGCTGAAACAATAAGAATGGTTTTGGTTAAAAGCTCTTATTAGTGTAGGTAAGTAAAATCCTTTCACCTATTATGGACAATTATTAGTAGTTGTAGTTCTATAACTTGATTGTCTAGGTGTCTAACGGGCCGGGTTGACCCGTAATCGGACAGGCCCAGACCGGTTAAAATCGGAACCGGACCGGCCCGGTGCATAGGGGGCCGGGTGGGGCTGGGTAGGAGGGGTAGAGGGGGTTGGTCCGTTTATTTTTTTGTAACGGTTAATCGGACCGGTCAAACCCGGTCCATGTGAACAGTGCCGTGTACCGGTTTAACCGGCCCGGACCGGTACAACGGCTAATTCTTTTTTTTTTTTATTTCTTTGAAATCTGTGGGGCCCACTAACCGTTGGCAACGGTCACCCCTGGCAGGGATCCGTTGCCCAACGGAATTATTGCATTAATAGCCTCTTTTTTCTTTAAAATTTAACCTATTTTTCAATTTACAAAATTAATCTTCTCTAAAACTATAAATAACCCCCCCCCCCTCTTCATTTCTTCACTCAACTCTCATTCTCCAATTTTCAAGACTTCAAGTCTTCAATTCATCTTCTAATTTTATTTGGCTCTTTTTTCTTGATTTAATTTATCATGTTTTATCATTCGGATTTTAAAGTTTGAACAATTGAACTTCAAAATTGAAATACTTGCTTGACGTTTGTTCTTGGTAACATTGGAATTGCGTAATCAAGTGCTCAATTTATTGTCGAATTCGGTGNGACAAATACTATGGGAGACGAAACGGGTAAGGCCGGAGAAGGGTGATACGTCGGGATCTCGGGGCCGGAATGGCGATGGCGAGGGTGGAGGTGGGGAGTTGGATGGGTGGGATGGGTGGGGGAGGAATGGATGGAGGTGGGGCGGGGTGGGGTTAGGAATAGGGTGGGGGTGAAAAGGTTAAAAAAGAGTTTCGAAAAATATTATCCCTCCTTTTGGTAGGAAATCATTTAAATGAATTCACGGGAAAAATATTTTTCAAAACATTTAAACCAACCAAATATGAAAACATTGGAAAACATTTTTCAAAAAATATTTTCCGTCACGGCAAGCACACCCCAAGTATACCTTAATAATGTTGCCATCTACATAAGTTGCAGTCCGCCGCTGTTATTTTCTAAAAAAATTAAATAATCAAATAAAACAACTTTGGTTACTTGTCTTTTGATGTTTTCTCCATGAGAATAATCATTCAAATATCACATTCCAAGATGTGCTCTTTTTTTCTCCTTTTCAAATTTTCAATGCACACAATTTTTTTCCTGTCGTCATCAACCTTGATGACTCCCACAGAGGTGACAAAAAGCAAAATTTATTGCACACGTTGTGATTGGTAACGCCTACGGCCCCTCCCTCAGCGGGAAATTAGATGAGGTACTTTCCTTAAGGAATAGCAAGACGGGGATCCACCACAATTTCGAGTGAAAAGGACAATAGAAATAGATTGCACTTATTCTTTTACTTTGGAGGGTTCATAGTTGAAGGCTACATGTATCAGATGGTAGTCTACAGATGTTCATGCCTCTCCACAAGATTCAGCCTTCATTTGTACAAGCTAAAAGTCTCAACCTGAAGTCATACATTGATATCTAGGAGTAATAGATGCATGATTTGCCTACACCTCCCGACAAACCCACGCAACTCGGTCACAGATGCCATAATTGCGGAAGTCTAAGGGTTCCATCTTTTGAGGTTCTACATCACAGTGTACAGAGGAAGTGATCACATTACACATATACTGTAATTCGATGAGCAATGAGCTAATTCTACATAAAGGCAGGCCTGTACGAAGATAAATCCATATGCAGAGATAGGTATGGAAGTTGCAGACAAATTTATGAAGTTTTAGAATGAAAGCACAAAGAATAGATGCTATGTAATTGTCATTTCTCAATACCTCCAGATCTGGTGTTTACAAGGTGTCAACTTCAAGGTGTTCTTTACCAGCTTTTACTGCCACAACCTAGGCAACATAAGATGACATTACAACAACAACAACAACAACAACAACAACAAACCCAGTTTGATCCCAACAGGTGGGGTCTGGAGAGGGTAGTCTGTGCGCAGACCTTACCCCTACCTAATGCAGGTAGAGAGTCTGTTTCCAATAGACCCTCGGCTCATGAAGGACAAGAAGAAGAAGTGGAAAGTAAGGAAGGGAAAAGAAAAAAAGGGGGGGATAAAGGATAAGTAGTACCAAATAATAGCAGCAGCGAATACAATACCTGAGGCAAACACAACCACATAACGTAATAGAAATCTAAGAATATGAAGAGACATGCATGCTACTAAGACTATCAGTGAACAACTATAAACTACCTACTAACCTTCTACCTTAATCCTCGACCTCCACACCCTCCTATCAAGGGTCATGTCCTCAGTGAGCTGGAGCAGCGTCATGTCGTGTCTAATCACCTCTCCCCAGTGATTCTTAGGCCTACCTCGACCTCTTCTCAAACTCTCCATAGCCAACCTCTCACACCTCCTGACAGGAGCATCAATGCTTCTTCTCTTAACATGTCCGAACCATCTCAGCCTCGACTCCCGCATCTTGTCCTCCACAGAGGCTACTCCCACTTTGTCCCAGATAGCTTCATTCTTAATCCTATCTCTCCTGGTACACCCACACATCCATCTCAACATCCTCATCTCTGCTACTCTCATCTTCTGCAGGTGGGAGTTCTTGACTGGCCAACACTCAGTACCATACAGCATAGCCGGTTGAACCACCGCTCGATAAAACTTACCCTTAAGTCTTAGCGGCACATTCCTATCACATAAAACACCGGAAGCGAGCCTCCACTTCATCCATCACGCTCCGATGCGATGTGCGACATCTTCGTCAATCTCCCCGTCACCCTGGATAATAGACCTAAGGTACTTAAAACTCGCTCTCTTGGGGATAACTTGAGCATCAAGCTTAACCTCTACATCTGCATCATCGGTCCCGTCACTGAATTTGCACTCCAAGTATTATGTCTTGGTTCTACTCAGTTTGAAACCTTTAGACTCCAAGGTCTGTCTCCAAACCTCCAACCTCGCGTTAACTCCGCTACGCGTCTCGTCAATCAACACTATATCATCGGCAAATAGCATGCACCAAGGCACCTCCCCTTGGATGTGTCGCGACAGTACATCCATCGCCAAGGAAAATAAAAATGGGCTAAGAGCCGATCCCTGGTGCAACCCCATCACCACAGGGAAATGCTCCGAGTCACCCCCCACAGTCCTCACCCGAGTCTTAGCATCATCATACATGTCCTTAATCAGCCTAATGTACGCTACCGGAACGCCACTAACCTCCAAGCACCTCCATAAGACCTCCCTCAGTACTTTATCGTATGCTTTCTCAAGGTCAATAAACACCATATGCAAATCCTTCTTCCTCTCCCTGTACTGCTCCACTAATCTCCTTACCAGATGAATCACTTCGGTAGTCGAACGCCCCGGCATGAATCCAAACTGATTCTCGGAAATAGATACGCACCTCCTCACCCTGGCCTCCACCACCCTCTCCCAAACCTTCATAGTATGACTCAACAACTTGATACTCCTATAGTTGTTGCAATTTTGGATATTACCCTTGTTCTTATACAGCGGAACCATCGTACTCCACCTCCATTCTTCGGGCATCTTCTTTGTCTTAAAAATAACATTAAATAGCTTAGTGAGCCACTCCAAACCTGCCCGCCCCGCGCTTTTCCAGAATTCCACCGGAATTTCGTCTGGCCCCGTCGCTCTGCCCCTGCACATCTTACGCATCGCCCCGTCCACCTCCCCTACCGTTATCCGCCTACAATACCCAAAATCTCGCTGACTCTCGGAGTGCTCCAACTCTCCCAGCACAATGTGTCTATCCCCCTCCTCATTCAACAGTTTATGGAAGTATGTCTGCCATCGTCTCCTAATATGTGCCTCGTCTATCAACACTTTGCCATCCTCGTCCTTAATGCACTTGACTTGGTCTAAGTCGCAGTCTTTCTTCTCCCTCACCTTGGCCAACCGATACAACCTCTTGTCCCCGCCTTTTCCCTCGAGCTCCTCGTACAAACGAGCAAACGCCGCGTTCTTAGCCGTCGTAACCGCCAACTTTGCCTCTTTCTTTGCCTTTCTCTAACACTCCCGATAAGTCCTTTTTTCCTCCTCGTTTGTACTCTTCACTAGCTTCAAATAAGTCGCTTTCTTAGCTTCCACTTTACCTTGAACCTTCCATTCCACCACGAGTCCCCTTTATGACCCCTAGGAGAGCCCTTCGTGACCCCTAAGACTTCTCTAGCAGCTACCCTAATGCAATTCGCAGTCGTAAACTACATACTAGATGCGTCCCCTCTACTCGTCCAGGCCCTCATAGCCAACAACTTCTCCCCTAACTCCTGAGATTTGTCCTTGGTCAAGTTACCCCACTTGATCTTAGGTTCCCTGCACCCCGCCCTCTTCCTCCTACTCCTCTTGATCTCCAGGTCCATAACTATGAGCCTATGAGGAGTCGTGATGTGCTCACTTGGGATGACCTTGCAATCAGTGCACAGACCTTTATCACATTTCCTGCAGAGAAGATAATCAATCTGGGTCTTGCCCATTGAATTCCGAAAAGTGACCAGGTGCTTTTCCTTCTTCGGAAAACTCGAGTTAGCTATAACCAAGTCAAAAGCTCTAGCAAAGTCCAACAGAGAATTACCTCCCTCATTTCTATCCCCAAAACCGTACCCGCCATGTACATCATCATAACCTCTAGCACTAGCCCAATATGACCATTGAAATCACCGCCAATGAACAACTTCTCTGTGCATGGGATACTACGCACCATCTCGTCCAAATCCTCCCAGAATTGCTTCTTGACCTCCTGGTCCAAACCTACCTGAGGAGCATATGCACTAATCACGTTTACAGTAAACCCACCAACTACCAGCTTAATACTCATCAACCTATCATTTACCCTCCTAACCTCAACCACGAGCTCCCTGAGGGCCCTATCAACTAAAATGCCAACCCCATTCTTACCCCCAGCGCTCCTTGAGTACCATAGTTTAAACTCGTCTACATCTCGTGCGCTAGTACCCTTCCATCTAGTCTCCTGAACACACGCTATGTTGATCTTCCTCTTCTGAAGAATCTTACCTAACTCTATAGACTTCCCCGTCAACGTCCCAATGTTCCAAGACCCTACTCTCAGTCTAGAGGCTTTCTTACCCCCCTTCCCACCCCTGGACCCTACCCCCAGCCCCACCCGAGGACATGACCTTACTTTCACATCGTTCACTACCGCCACTATAAGCAAAAGGTATTAGGTAAACACTACCACTAAGAACAAGTAGCTGGAACAAAGGACTACAAGCTACGAACCCGAGAGCTAAAAACAACTCAAAGGCGCTACTACGAGAACAGTAACGCGAGCAGGCACTAGAACAATAAAGCTACCAAGTCTAAGAAACTATCCCTATGTAAACACAGAATTAAAATGGATAGATGAAACCTTAAGCTTAAAACACTAATAGAAAAGACAGAAAAAGCAATCAATGAAAAAAATAAAATAAAGTAACTAACGGGAACGATAACCTCAACTAAAGGTCAGACAAACAGGTGAAAATTAAAAGATAAAATTACATCATATATCACTTGGGCCACACAGCCCACTCGAAAATAGCCCATATTTGAAGCCTTTACCTGGATTAGCCCATGTTGTATATGTTATAAAATTTACTTTACACCCGGTAGCCCACAACTTAAAATAACGGTTTTACTATTTTAAATTTCAATTTCTCTGTTTCTCTTTCTCTCTCTTCCTCACGCTTTTCTCAGACTCTCTTTCTCACGCTTTTCTCAGAAGATAACCGACCTCCATTGTTGGGTTCAACTAATTTTTCGAGCTTTTAATCTTATTTCAGGTAATTTTCGTTTCATTTTATGCTTTTACCACAATTTTGGTTTTGAATTTTGTTTTTTTTTTAATTTTTTTGCTTTTTCTGATTATGCCTATTTTCTTACAATGTTGTTGTGTTTTTTGTTTGATTTTGTGTTCCTTCTATCTTTGTTCTAGGCTTAAACTTGATGTTTTAGTTTGTATGCTCTGTTATTTCGACTTTTAGGGTAGAATTTTTTATTTTTTGATTTTTGTTACAATTTGGAAAAATTGGCCCCTGCTTTGTGTTCATGGCCTTTAGTTTTGGTTAACCTTTGAGATTTGTTACAGTTTGATTTTTGTGTTTTCCTTCAGTTGTCTTCAGTTTTGTTAAAGCTTTGTTTGTTTGTTTTATTGTAGAAAATGCGCTCAAAAGTAGTTGCTTCTAAAAGCAAAATGAAGATTGCTGGAAAAGGCGTTAAGTTAGATTATGCGAAAAGATTGAGGGAGTTGCCCTCAAGCCCTGATTCTGAATCTAATGTAAATGTCCAGGCGCCAGATGGTGATGATTTTGAGTCTCCTGCTCCTCCTAAAAACTCGCAACAAGAGAGCAGTCGGATGACTCGTTCGCAAACGAGAAATACTCCCACTCCAGTTAAATCATCGAGTGACTTGCCCTCACCACCTTCTTCTGAAGCGAATACGCATGTCCAGGCTCCCGATGATGATGATTTTGAGTCTCCTCCTCCTCCAAAAAAGTTGCAACAAGGGAGCACTTGAATGAATCGGTCGCAAACAAGTAATACTCCTACTCCGGTTAACATCGTTAGAATTAGGAGTAAGAACTGTGGGAGACCTGAAAAATTAAAAGAAAAGCTGAAAGTTGATTTGGTTAATAAAGATGATGTAGGCCGCAATGTTAAACCGAAAAGGAGAAAGATCAAGGACGATGGTGATAGTGGCCTTGATTCCTTATCGAAAGAACAAAGGTTTTCTATTCGCTGCAAATTGAATGAGAGAAAAGCTAAGTTGAAGGTATTCCCTGTGTTGCTATTAATTTATACATGCTTATACAATTTTATACAAAGTTATACAGTTGTTTATACATCTTTATACAAGTACTGCTATACTTATTTATACATTTTTATAAANCAACGTCCCCAATGTTCCAAGACCCTACTCTCAGTCTAGAGGCTTTCTTACCCCCCTTCCCACCCCTGGACCCTACCCCCAGCCCCACCCGAGGACATGACCTTACTTTCACATCGTTCACTACCGCCACTATAAGCAAAAGGTATTAGGTAAACACTACTACTAAGAACCAATAACGTGAACAGTAACGAGAGCAGGCACTAGAACAATGAAACAACCACGTCTACGAAACTACCCCTATGCAAACGCAGAATTAAAATGAATAGATGAAACCTCAATCTTAAAACGCTAGTAGAGAAGACAGAAAAAAGAAATCAATCCAATCAAAATTGCCGGCAAGGCAACAGTAAATAGATGTGTGCAAATACAATTTAAGAAAGATAGAACCTGGATCACAGTCGTGGGATACTACTGGAGGACTTATGAAATATGATAAAATGAAGGATCGTCAGGAGTTAGCAAAAATGATTGCTTTGGGTTGTCTACCTTTTTCTTTTGCTTCTTCATCATATCTTATTATGTATATTCAAAGGATTTACAATCCTTTATTTAAAAGTATCCCTAGAAGTACTTGTAGAGCTGATATCTTTAGACTTCATGGACAATATCAAACATACATACGTTATTTGTTTAGCCACCTTCCTTGTAGAGTTTCTCTAACTTCTGATATTGGCCATGCTGTTAATGGAAATGATTATTTGCCAATCACATGTCATTGGATAGATGATACTACTTGTATGCAAAAACGTATTATCGCTTTTAGATATGATGAAGATCAGAGTCATACTGTTGCGTTTATAAGTAGTACTATTTGTGAAGTTGTTGAGTTTTATAATTTCAAGCAAAAAGTATTGTGTATGTATTTTGATAATGCTTCTAACAATAATGCCGTAATTTCAATATTAAAACTGCATTTGCAACCACCTCTTGATGAAATTTTTCATGTTAGGTGTGCATGTCATGTTTATAATTTAATTGTTAAAAGTGGCCTTGATTTATTTTCAACTGAGATTACTCATGTTAGAAGAGCAGTTGGTGTTATTCAAGGAAATAATAGGCAATCTAGAATAAAGGAATTTAAGACTAAGTGTCCAGTATAACCTTAAACCCAGATTCATGCCAGACGAAATTGTTACTAGATAAAATTATACATACATACATACATACATATATATATATATATATATATATATATATATATATATATATATATATATATATATATATATATATATAAAATGTTGCTACAAATATAGATTCCCAATAACTGAAGTTGCTAATGCGCATTGTACTGATCCAAACCGTATGTTAACAACTACTACTTGGGAGGTCATTAATGATGTTGTTAAATTTTTACATAAATTTTATACAGCCACTGTTGAGTTTTCTAGAGCATATTACCCTAATGTTACTATGGCTTTAGTACATATAGCTGAAATTTCTTTTCTACTCTTTGAATTTAAGAAGAAAGAAAAATATAAGATGTTGTGGAAAAAATGCAAGCAAAATTCAAAAAATATTTCTTTCCAATTCCTCCGATTTACTTAATTGGTGCTGTTTTAAATCCTTCTATTAAGATGCCTGATTGTCACCAATTAATGAATGCTTTATATACTTATATGGAGATTGGACCAACTGAAACCCCATATTTATATGTTTCTATGAACAAGCTAAATGAATATTTACAACAATTATATAATTATTATGCAAATGCAATTGATGATGCTGCTCGTACTGTAGGCAATGTTAATCCCACTATGCACTGTACCACTTCTGCTGCTGTGAATGATAAAGAAGGCCTTGATAGTTTTAATATTTTTTCTACATTTTCTAACACTCAAACCAGTAGCAGGAACATTGATGAATTTCAATTCTACTTGCAGAAGCAAAAAGAGCCTCGCACAAAGGAATTTTCACCGTTGGGATGGTGGCATGAGAATGGAAAGCAATTTCCTATTCTTTTCGCTATGGCTCGGGACGTGCTGAATGTGCCAATTTCAACTGTTGCGTCAGAGAGTGCATTTAGCCAAGCAAGACAACAACTTGGAGACACCCGTCACTCATTGGGAAGCAATGCTTTGGAAGTTTTAGTATGTTTCAGAGATTGGATTAGATCGGAACGAAGAAATCAAGGACATGAAGATGTTGATAGCCCAGAAGACGAGGAACTTGGAGATATGTTAACACATGGTAACCCATCCGAATTTAACACTCTAGAAGAATGTCACTCAGTTCATATTGATTATGAAGAACTTACTAAGACAATGCAAAACCTTTGAATTTGCTCTTTTTTGGTTAATTTACTTGTTGTTAAATGTAAACCTTTCAATTTGTAAGTTTGAATTTTGAAAATAAATGTAGCACTTGTAATTTATAAGTGCAACTTTTTCCCATCTTCCTTGTATTCTTTATATTAATACTTTGTATTAATATAACTTACAATAGTTATACAAAATAAAAAAAAATAAAAAAAATACACTAAACCCGGCCCGACCCGGCCCCCTCAACCCGTAACCCTTATGGTTCAATTTTTACCCGGATGAACCCGAACCCGTTAAACCCGGTAAGCCCCAACCCGTAACCGGCCCGGACCATAACCCGTACGGGTCCAAAAATTCCCAACCCAGCCCGGCCCGGCCCACCAGTTTAACACCCTTACTTGATAGTGTAAAAATCTACGTAATTAGTATAAAAGTTAGACTTGTTGTTAATTTAATTTTTCTCCGTTATTGCGTTCCTTTTCATTAAATGGATACATCTCTATTACAATAAGCCTTAACCCCTTCTGCCATACATATGAACTAGTAATAATCTATTAGAAACTGATTGGTGTTTTTCTTGTTCGTACTGATCAGTAATCTTGTAATTTCTTTTGCAACAGGTTGTACGAATACGAGATTGATAGAAAAAGGTTGTATGATGAAAACAACTTTATAATTACTATTACTACCTTACTTTTGGAAAAAAATTCACAATTTGTCTCATGAGGAACAATTCTCAAATATGTTATATGCAGTGCTGAAGATGCCAAAAAACCTAAACCAGAACTTGAACCTGAAAGGTGACTCATACTGTCTTATTCTTTATTCTCATTAGGGAGTTGAGACAAATATTTATATTTCTCTCGTGTTCCTTGTTACATAGGGAAACAAGCGATAGCGGTTTCACCTTCTACCTAATTTGGCCTGGTTCCAGAAACCAATAGATAATAGAGATTTACTTTTGATCAAGGTAAGATAATTGCATTACTTATTCCCTACTAATTCTTTCATTAAAGACTTATTTATGTGTGTTTTTGCTAAAAACCCCTTTTATATTATGTCATCCCTCTATCTCAATTTATGTGGCGCTTTTCGCTTTTCGTGATTCAAATTATGTGAAATTTGACCAACATTTTAAATGTAATTTTTCATCATATATTGACATGAGAAGAATTGTTTTAAATATCTTAATTTTAATTCTAAAATATTGAATTGATCTAATCCAATTTAGCGTCGGAGATTAGTCAAATTGACTTTCGAGGAGCAAAAAGTGTCACATAAATTAGAACTGATTCAAATATTGAGAATCTTGCGCCGCAGTACTTTTCACGAAGTTTTCAGACTACTTAAAGAATACATAATTCCCTTTTCAGTTTGACCTCCAAAAATCTCAGTAGATGCAGGCAGATATTCAATTGGACAAAAGAGTAACTAGCAAACCAAGAAAAAGGACCAATTGTCACTAATTTTATATGTTGCAAATGCAGCCTCCTGAATATTTGCTATGTTTTTCGGAGTTACACTTTAGTCCTAAAGATTATAGTAGCTTTTACTTTTACCCCTGAAGTTAGCTTTTTATACATTTTCCCTTTTCTTTAAATACTGATGTAAGATGTTGAATGAAAATTGAGTTTTTCTTTTCTCTGCATCTCATTTCATTTCTTTCTTTTTAGTTCTTGTTTTCCATTTCCATGACGATTCCAACGTGGGAATCGTTACAATTGGTATCAGAGCCGACGATTCTCGGCTGTTCATCGGTGGTAATGTCAGAATCCGGCAGAGGTTTAAATCAGTTGGAGCAACAGATTCAAGCTTTTATGGAAAGATCGAACAGAAAACTGCAGTATATGGAAGAATGGTATCAAAATCGTTTCAGTACCTTACATAGTTCAGAAAATCA